GAATTAGAACAACTCAATTGAAAATGAATACATTCTGCAGTCATTATCTCACTCCTGAACTCATTAAAAAGTCAAAAATGAATTATTTTACTTGAAGAACCTCAGCAAAAGACCAAACACTGATTTTTTTGACAGCCAGAAACCTAAAAAAAAACGCGATACGAAGACGACAACACACTGACGCTGCAGCAAATGGAGATCCTAAAAGTGCCCGAAAAATTTAGGCACTTCTAGGAGCAATATAATATCAAACAGCAAAGAGCATAGTCACGAGCTCAAAGCACGACGCTCAGAAGCTTGGCAACTAGTTTAGCAAATGAAGGAGACAGTTAGCAATCAATTAAAACCAGTGAACAGCCAGATCATTGCAGCTAGTTTGTAATTGGTGCAGGACGACCAAGAAACCGATAAGTCTTTGCCCTCACAGTCAGCGATAACGTTAACTTTGAACAGAAGTAAGCAAACAATAACCCTGTCCAATATCGCGACAGATGACCGTAAATTCGAAACTTTGGATCGTTCTAAGCGTTTTTGTCTTTTTGATAGCGGAAAACAAGAGACGAAACGCATATTGATTTTTGGCGACATTGAGAACCTCGATGCATTTAAATTGTCCATCAGACCTGGCTTGTAGAGGGTTCTTTCAAAATTTGCTCCAGTCAGCTTAACCAGCTCTACACTATACACATCCAGATCGGCGGGTTTTATCCACCTTGCGTCTACGCTCTACTCAGTTATAAGCGCTTATCAAGCTATAAGAAGTTCCTAACCTCACTTAAAATGCTTAGCGGTGACCTAACCATGGGAAATTTTTTTGATCGACTTTGAATATGCAGCGTTGAGTGCTTTTGCGTCTCATTAAGAAACTGACATTAAGAGATGCTTTTTTCACCAAACGATCTCGCAAAAATTAGACAAGCTCATGGCTTATTTCTAAAAAACGTACATTAAAGGGGATTTGATTAGCCAAAAAACACTCTTTTTTATGTTTCTTTTTGGAACCATTATCAAAATGCTGTGTGTGGTCTAGTCTTAACCACGAATGCAGTTGAAGGTTGGCATATAGGGTTAACCGCTTTGTTTTAAAGCAGCCATCTTTCAATTTAATCGTTTCTGGAAAAACTTCGACCGGATTCCTACAATCAACGGAAAAAGTACTGTGATCTGGATGAAAAATTTCAACAGATAACTAGTTCATACACAGACACTCTAGCTTGTCTTATATTGCCCTTATAACTTATTTCAACTTTTTATAATTTTTCCTAAATTTAAATTTGTTTAATCAAAATTTTTTAAACGTCTCCTTCCACCCTCCCGGAGAACACCAAAACGCAATACTACGCCTCGCATTCGAATATTTTTTCTCTAGCAATTTAATCACAGAGCAATTGCCTTTATTTACGGGACGCTAGGTTGGAAGTAGGCGCCTGACAGCCCTTTGAGCCTTGCGTCTAGCGAGAAAAAAAAGATCAAAATTGAGAATTAGTGTTTTTTGGCAAATAAAAATGCAAGTGATTAGGAAAAACAATGATTTCAAAGCTTTAGAATTTTCCAATAACTTAATTTCAATTTGGTAATGACTTGAGTTGTCTGAAAAATTAGGCCTTTTTTGGCAAAGTTGGTTTTGATTAATTGGAAACCCTTTAAAAGTTCTTTTGCAGTCTAAGCTAATTCAATGTTTGAGTTTGATTTTGAATTCTAAGTCATTAGCGAGGTCATTTAAATTCATAACTTGTGCAGCAAAATTTTTTGCCGTTTCTTTGCTTTTAACCGACGCTTTGTTTTTGCTTTAATCGATTAACCACTCTGCTTTCAATTCTCAGGTTCTTTGTTATATTATTATGATCTTTTTTGTCGTGGGTAATTTTATAACGAGGTGTTTTTTGGAATGATATCTATTTGACTGGCATCTTCTCGTTTGAGATCTTAACGTAAGTGATCTTTTGTCGTGTAACCGTTGATTCTTGCAATTCAAAACAGTTCGATTGATTTTTTGTGGGCAATTAGAACAAATGATCTGATGGATGATTAAAATTGAATCAAACTGAACCATGAAAAATGTTCAACAATTTTCTTAATTAAATTTGCATTTATTGTTCCGACCATTGAAAATGGGAAGGAACTTTGTATTCAGGTGTGTTTTAGTTTTTTTCTTTTTGTTTTCGACGCAAGATCAGGTAAAACAAATAATCATTGGACTGGGTTAAATAATATATCGTATTAAAGCAATTTTAACCGTGATTCAAATGACACTATAAAATTTCCAAAAATTTCTCCCATTTTTGGGAAAAACGGAAAAACCGTTTTGAAATTTTTAATTTTTCGTTTTTTTTTGAGCGAAAAAAAAACAAACGAGCAGGCTTACAACCGCTGAATTATGCCTAATCTAAGACCGTCAAAACACAAAAAAACTAGTCTTTGGAGTTTTTTAGCTTCATTTTGGGATTTTTTAAGTTTTTTTAAAATTTTTTCAGTCAATTTTCTACACAAATTTTTGTCCAATTTTCGTCCAACATTATTGCCTTTTTGGTAAGTTAACGTTCTATGCAAAATATACATATGCACGTGCAAAGATCTGCGAAATCCAGGCTCTCATTTATAAGTTTTTATAATATATTATAGCCCATTTTAATCAATTATACTCCATTTTTGTCCTAATGATTTGGGACGAGTTTTTTTTTAATCATATGCTGTTTTTAATTGGTTATTTGACAAATTTTTAGTTTTTTTTAAGAAATGACAGCATTCATAACCACAACCGCTTACAATGGGGACGCTTAGATGACACTGCCCACATTTCTCTAATTGTATTTCCGAGAAAAATATATTTTTTAAACGTTCATTTTGAAAGTTTTAACGCTCTTTTGTCGGATAAAATTGTCTTGATGACCTGTCGTTTTATTGTCTATTCATCCTATTTACCAAGAATTTAATTTTTTAGACATTCAAATTGCAATCGAGATTGCGTTTGTCAGTTTGCAAGTTTCACATCTTATCAACAAAAACTAATCGTTCTTTAAAAAACTTCATCTGAAACACACACCTGAGCAAAGTAAAAAACTATAATTGAAGTTTGACCAAAATCACTCTGATAAGCTAAAAAGCACAAAATTAGAGCTTCCTTTTTCTATAAGTGTAGGGCCTGTTTTTTCATTTTTTGTTTTCGACGAACATAAGAAAGTAGCTTTTGCTCGCTATTGTTTTAAATTATATGGCGATAGTCAAAACAAACTTCGTTAACCCACCCGATGATACCACCGTTTAAACATTTCTAAGGCCTGGTTTTGCAATTGGAACCAGTTTAAAACTAGTATTTATGACCAATTATTTTCTTGATAAAATTATCTCTATAAAATATTTCTTATGAACCGATCATGATCCATAACTAACACTGACAATTATTTGTAATGCTGAAAAAATTTGTAGTTTCAGCACCAGAACAATTTAAATATAACTTAAAAGACAGTTGTTCTCCTTTGGAATAAGTTCCAGATACCTAACCCGCAAATACCAGTATACACTAGATCTATTGAGACTAGGAGATATAAGAGTAAGATTAAGATCGGTGTTGGACTAAGAAGTTGCACGAATCTATCCGGCCGAAAATAGGATAGCCTGAAGAACAGACGGTGTACCTTATCTGAAATTACTCTATGAGTAAGCTACTACAGGCATCAACTCACAATCAAGAAATTAATTGTGATTATCAAGACCAGGATTTTAACTAGGTTACAAAACTATCGAAATACTTTGAGCAAATTAACTCATACTCAAGTCACAGCAAAAAAAAACAAGTTCTAGCAATTTTCGTGCGATGAAATGCAGCAAATCTGAAAAAAATTTCGAATGTTTTATGTGTGACACAATTTAATCAACAAGTTTCGAAATTTTGGTTTTGTGATTTTTAAACCTCAAGTCAACTTCCTACTCTTACAATCAAAGACTTTTGAGGAAATTTCACTTTTGTCTCAAATTTTTAATTATTGTCAGTTTTTCATGAAAAAAGTTTGTAGAAATTGTTAAAATATAGCGCAAGCTCACTAATTAGTTGGTTCCTCTATTTTATCAGATATTTTTTAATATAAATGAAAAAGAGTAATCGCTTAGAACTTAATGATAAATTTCTAAACCTAATCAGACCAATTTTAAAAGCTTTGGGATCAATCCTGGAATAACCAGATTACCATACCCTTTTGATTGCACTAGCCTCACTGCTGTTAGAAATTGCTCCTTTAATTCATAATACTTTAATTGAGCGAAAAAAGTATGCCTGGCGATTATTACGTGCTCATAATCGTTCTAGATTGAACTGGAGCAAAATTAGATGGTCATTCTAATTCCGTATATTACTCAAATTTTAAAGCTTAAAATTTGATATATGAAATCTAAACCATTCAAAACCAAAAGGATAGTCGGGACATTCATGGCTTTGTCCTGATATTCGAGTTTTCATTTTTACCTCAAATCACCGGGCATGGCGATTTTTTTTAAAAATATGTTGTCTCATATAATTTTTCTGACGCGGAAACTTCTGAATCGAAAATTTTTTTTTCCTTGTCAGAGCTTTATTTTTCTGACGCGAAAAATATTCTGCTTTGCTCGCCAAGTCCTACAAACTGAGGCAAATTTATTGATCTAACTAGTGCAGAAAAACACCAAATTTTTTTTCAATTCATTACTTGAAAACAACTTCGGAGAGTGGAATTTAAAGTTCAATCTGTAAACTAGTCTCGTAAATTACAGAGAGGCAAGAAAATATTCAAGTATTTTATTTGCCTCAGTTAAGTGTTTCAAGTTTTTTTATCTAAATTTTAATCTAAATCTTTTTCTATAGCCAAAAAGATTTAATCGTGTTCATTTTTTTACTCAAGTTTTTGATGTGGAATGCTATCAGTTATCTCCATCTACTCATGCAAGTTTTTTCCTACAATTGAAAACTTCAGAAAACCTTTTAGATACAAAATAGAAAGCAAAAACAAAAACAATTTCCAATTTACCACGTTGGTTGGTGAACTTTCAAACAATTTCAATTTTCGGCGCATTATTTTTTTTCTGCTTGTTGAACAAAAAAAAATTCGGTGGGCAAAGAGACAGGAAACTTAGTGTTCATCTGAAAAATTAAAAACTTGAAAAATTAAAAACCGGATCTTCCTAACAAACTTACTCTTCCCCATACCGTCTACTAAAAAATCTCCAGCTTGTATATAAAAATTAAAAGACTGCTCGTATCAGGCTAAAGCCCTGATTGCTCCGACTACCATTAATTGGTCTCGAGTAGCTCTTGTTATATGATATACTGACAAACTACAAACTTTAGGCTGATAATGTTAAAGTGTTAAAATTTTAGTCGTTTGTGAATTAAAAAAAAACCAATTCGCTTGCATCAATTCAATTAAAAAAGATTATGAATACGGATATTTTTCCCTGCATAATTAATTCGCGAACTGAAAAAACTTTCAAAAGATTTTTTTAGCAGCAATTTCACATTTTAGTCTATTGCAAAGCCTGCTCGCCTGACAATCCGAAGATTTCTGGCTCGATGCTCTTACGCAGACATTATTTCAAAAATTGGTCTGAATAAAAAACACCCCTAACATATACATTCCTCACTTTCTTCGAAATTCGGAACCATAAATTAGCTCTGGAGTGTTCATTTTTTAATTCAAATTTTGCTGCAGTCTGCTATGTCAAAAGTTCGCAGAAATAACCTATTTATAAATATCCTTCTTTTCTTGAAAAGGGGAGAATTTGTCAGTTAAATACCAAAAATCTAACTAATATTCAAAAAACCGCACAATGAAGCTCCCAAACCAGTTTTTGTTCCGACTTTTGTAACGCAAGTAACGGAACATTTGTGCTCAGGGTGTGTTTTTTTCTTCAGGCAAATTTCAATATTTAACTAGGCAGTTTTGACGCAATTTTTATACATCATTCAAACGGTTTTGTTTTTCTGAGCTCATATTTAAAAAGATATTTAAAATAGTTTATCAAAAGTAAGCTCTCATAATTTATTATTCCGACTTCCGAAGAAACTGAGAAATATATATGCCGAAGAAATTGAGAAATATATATGCTAGGGTTGGTTTTTTGTTTATTCAAGCCAACTTCTCAAAAATTTTTGCACCCTCAGGGGATCCTGTGTAAACTGCTCATTTCTTGTTTTACATGTAGCGAATTATCCCGCTCTAGAAAATCGTTCCAATATGAATTAAGGCAATAGGCTAATTGGTCTTATTAATTCCATAGATGCTTAAAATTTGAAACTATCAGCCTAAATTTCATAGTTTTGCCATTAATTCTTGTACCAGTAAATCTTTCAGCTATTCGAGAGAAATTATTGGGCAGCCGGAACAGTCAGCGCCCTGATTCGAGCAGTCTTTTTTATTAGATTCTGGCAAAATGCTAAAAGCCTGGAGAAAACTTTTGTTCAAATAATCGTTTCAGCTCAGGCAACAATTTCTTTATCCTGCGAGTGTCTGTTTATTTTAGTTAGGCCGAGACAATTCATCTTATCCAAAAAAAAGTAAGAAAATTGCCTGTAGCTGAATGATATAACTTCCCTTTAGTTTTATTGAACTTATTTTGTGGTCTATGATGAAAGTAGTTGCATAACCTTTACAATTCTTTTGTCTGAAAGAAGTTTGTCAGCCCACATACTTTTGAGGAATTAAAGAATTAATTTACAGTCTATTACAAGATTTATTTGAGCCAATCAAATTTTCCATCAATTTATTTATTTTGAAATGAGAGTTTGAGTCCACGAAAGTTGGCTGCTTGTTCTTTAGCTTAAAAAAACGGGCAAAATTTGTTAATTAATCAGTAAAAATTTTCTTATTTTCACTTTTTGAGACATGCGATATTTTACAAGGATCAAAACGGAAAATGATTAGGGAAAAAATCAGTACCACGCCAAACTCGGGTTTTTGTCGTAATCTGGATTCTATCGGTACTGTGCTTGAAATCAACATACTTTGCATCTAGTTCAACAGAAACTCGAAATTTAATTGAAATCATAACTTGAAATAAAAAATCTATTGACAAGGAATTAAACATGAGTCGTGAATACTAGGCAATTACTTAACGCATGTCTTTGCTTTCCACGGATAAGAAAACGAGACTGCTCGTAAATCAAGGCAAAACCCTGAATGCTCCAATTGAACTCTAACTGGTCTGGAACCATTTTTGGTAAAATAATTATTATCAAACTATAAATTTTGAGCGTGTTGAGAGTTGAAATTTGAGTCGTATCGGGAATTATTACGACGCGAGGTTTTACGCGAGGCGAATCAACCCGCACTACAAAATCGTTTCAATTTGAATTGAAGCAATTCAACACAAATCTCAAAGGCAAATCAAAATTTTTTATTTTTTTAAATTTGATCAATTTTTCAAACTATAAATAAAAAAAATGATTAAAACCGAGTTTGGCGTCCTAATGATATTGCGCTTCTTAACTCAACGTTTTAAAAACTAGCTCAAAGCAATTCAGCTGTAGCCAATCTCGTGTAAAAGAGGCCTGTAGCCGCTATATGAGAATACGATCGACCATATACGACCATATTTTACGATAATAAGATCATAGTTTGCTTGGGGAGTTACAGAGGTTTTCAAATGAACTCAATGACAAAACATAATTCCTGGGTCATTAAGTTTTTTGGTTTGGGTGTTGAGCTGTTGTTTTGTTGAAAATTATCTCAAACAAAATAATCGGTTTTTTTCATAAATTGATTTAATAACGTTTGTCTCAGAAAGGAGCAGTTTATTTTCGAAAATGCTTGAAACAAATTTTAATTTTACAACAATTGTTTTTCCAAGTTACTTCATGGCACTTTTGATCAGCACAAGAGGTCAATATGGTAAGTCAAAAAACAACGGTTTCTCACACAATATAGGCTGCAAAATATAATCAGATAAAGTTTGAAAGCTTTAACTGAAGCTTACAATCTTAATCCTGTCAATAATTTATGCAATATTTTCCATCTCTGAAAACAACTTTTTTATTCCATGGCATCTGTGGTATCTTCAATTGAATAGCATCACAATCGCATACAATCGCACTCTCAAAGTGGTTTTGAAATCTTTGAAATTATCAAATTTCAATGATAATTATTTAGCACGTCGACCCTATTGATATTGCTATGTTTTCTTGAATTTGTTCGAAATCGACTTAAAGTGATCATTCGTTAACCAAATTGCAAATTTAGCAGCCATTTTGAAATTTCGAGTGCAATTTTGAAGAAAAATAGAAAAAGTTCAAATATTTATGAAACTGATTTTTTCGGAAGTCAATTTTATACGTGTTCGAATTTGGGTTAAAATGGGGTTCACCTAGAGGCGGATTTAAGGGGATAAATGGACGACCCTCCCCCTTCTCACCCCTTCGACCCCTTCATCCGCAACCAAGGGGTCCACCCATTGGTATTATTTTATAACATCCATTTTAGGCCGGCCAACCCTAAATTTTTTCAATATATATTTATTCTGAAGAGGAGCGCGTGCCAAAAAAACGCAATTTTTTGGTCAACATTTTTCATTTGCATCCATGAGGCTCAAAACTTTTGGTCAAAATAGGGTCTTTATAAAGTTCTCGGAATGCTCGAAAAATCAATTTGGTCAACTTTAAAGAGGTCGACAAAGTTTTCGAAAACTTTTTGAAAAAAACAGCGTCCCCCCTTAAAGAAAATTCTAGATCCGCCCCTGGGTTCACCTAGGATTCTCCAAAAACAATTTTGGATGGCTTTGACATGTGCAATGGACTAAAATTCTTTGCTTAAGGATTAAAAAATAACGCTCGCAAAATAAACTCAATATCCAGCATATGATCGAAGCCAAAACTGTGTCGATAAATCTTGTGTTTTGATTTCATCAAATCTAAAGCTATGTTTCAGGTGTGATGGCTAACTCCCCATTAATCGAAAGAACGGAAACTTTTAGCGGAAAAAGTCATAGTCTTGGCAACAAAGTTCCAGAAAATTTCAACAAAGAAAATTTCAACAAAGAGCAAGAGCAACGGAATCACCTCCAACTTAATGGACGAGTGCTACTGAAAAGACCATTTGGCAACTACCTACCAAAAACTGGCTCAAAAGGAAACCAGAAAGCATTCAGAGAACAAACAACAAAGTAGAGCGAAAGCAAATAGTTCAAAAGATGTAATAATAACGCATTGAGTATCAATATTTTGATATGAACGAATTATAGCTTCAAAATTAAAAAATAGTTTTTTTTCAGACTTAGAAGAAAATAATGATTTATATTTTTTCGTCGTGATTTTATTGTGTTCGGTGTTACTTTCTTTGACCGACAAGTTCAGAATTGTAGCTGAAGAAAATTGATTAAAACACGTTAGTTGAGGTTATTAACAGCAGTATTCAAACGCAACCCCATATAAAAATTGCGACAACCAATTTTGTATGCGCGTTTGTTCGAAATGCATATATTATACAGAATTATATTTTAAATTTATTACGTGGCTAGGGGGAAGTTCTACGGTTGGTCACAAAGGGGGGGATTTAAGGATTACGGTTGTAACATCTTTCGGAGGGGATGTATTTAAGGATAACCGTTTGCTGTGCTCAAAAACGAAAAACAACCCTCTGGTAATCTGAATTTTGCTCTTTAGACGGGTTTAACTATCACCAAAGTTGCACTGCGTGAGATTTGAAAATCGAGCATGGAAGCTTCAATCTTTTTTTAATGCAAATAACGTACGCGGCAAAAACATGACAAATTGAAATGAGGCAAGCACGCTCATCAATATACTGCCTTGTAAATCCCAATTTGCTCCCACTTTAGAAGCAAAAAGGGGATTTTGTGCTCAGCGTTTCAGCATTTTGCCAATCTTATTTTGAATGAAGTTTTTTTGAAACCATCTGAAAAGTAGTGACGCAACTGAGATCAAATTTGAAAGAAAAATTCACCTTTGATTTTTTGCTCCAAGGTGTAGGGCTTTAGAAAATTGCCAAATTGCTTAATTTGGGACAATTAACGCGCAATATATTTCATTTTACTAACGCGTGAGCGGCAAAATAACCTGGGTCGGAAACCGTTCAAATTGGTTTTGAAGCAATCTAATTGGAATTTTGTTACGTTGATACACGCTAATTACATCATTTTCTTGATTAACATAGCGTGTAAGGAAAATGTTTCATAAAAATTGTCTCCAGTTGATTAAATTTCCTCAAAAACTTTCACAAATATGATACCAATGTTTTTTTATGTCGTAAATTCTACTAAATTGCTAATTTCTACGTTATGCAAGGCTCTGGGACCACGTTAACATTCCCCCCCCCCCCAAGGACGTTTGGGGGGAGGATGTTATCTTGGTTCTAAGTTGGCATTTTTCAGCCCATCACAATCGAGCATTTTACATGAAAATGACTATTTTTGAAATTGACTATTTTTTAACCAAATGTTTTTTCTTTTTTCGAATTACGCTTTAGGGAAAAGTTTCGTTGGGGGTCGCTATTATTCAGCCAAACTTTGGCGATGAAATTAGTATTTTTTATCCAAAATATGTAATCCGGCGAGCTGAATGACTCTTTGTTGAAAAAATTACAAAATCACTTTGCCTCCGATCAGTTTTTATAATGTTTCGGAGGAGTGAAAAATCCCAATTTGGCAGCAAATTGTTACCAAATTGGAAGTTTTCACTCCTCCAGAACATCATAGAAACTGATCGGGGGTAACCTGATTTTAGAAAAACTTTATAAAATCAGTTTACCTAAAAAGATTTTATACAATTATTCATGCGCGCTGCAAACATTTTATCGTGAAGCTGAAAACTACATAGCGAACAATCTTGCACTTCAATAAATTGTTCCGAAAATCAATCTAATTGGTCGTGCTTATTCCGTATATGACAAATAAGAGTATATTTATTTTGAAAAAATTCAAAATTTCAATACAGCAAATTAACCAAAGAGGTGAAGCGTTCGCTTCAGTCAGCTTTTTCAGGTCTTTTTTACCTTGTATCTAACTGGTTTTAAGGGTTCTGAAAAGCTGTTTTAAAAAATTAACTTCTCGAAGTTTTTATTCGTTTCAGACAAAAATTGAGTGCAAATCAATCTCGTGAAACTCTTGAAAAAGGCGTTTTTTAAAGTTGAGTCTCTTATTTCAACGATTGATTGTTTTGCCCAATTGGAGAAAATGAATCAAAATAGGCAGTCAGAGTTTATGGATGCCAAAATTTACTGATATCTTTGAACAAAATTTTGAGGGCATCATATTTCATCGAAATTTCAGTTCCGCCATAGAATAAAATATTTGAAACAGTTGGATTTTCATAACAACCATGGATGGATGCTTTTATTGATTCATTCGATACTACCAGTTATCAGCATGTTTTTGACACAATTAATGTACTGTTGGAAAAAAATCAAAAACTTTGGCTTTAAAGATTGTATTCATGAGTCTCTGATTTTTTTTCAAAACCAGGTCTTAACTTGATCAAAAACCAATTAAAAACATCATTTTTGTTTTTATCAGCACGAGGAATCTCACAAGGATCAATTGTAGGACCAAATTTGTTTTTTTTTGCGAACAAAATTCTTCCCAGTCATTTTGTTAGATCTACGCAAGTGCTTTTTACTGACGATTTTACAAAATAAAAAGCAGAGACAAATCGTTGCAATATTTTCAATTATCATTATCCAATCTTTCAGAAAAAAAACTTGACGGATAAAAAAGAATATTGTTTTTTGTTTATGTAAAAAAAGTACAGCAGAGTTTGGACCACGTACCAGGAGAAAAACGGAAGGTATAATTGCAGTAAAAAAAATTTGACACCTGTCAAAAAAACAGTTTCTACTAGGTTGGCTTACGCTGTTAGATATTTAACACAGGGGCGGAGCATATATGGATACATTTTCTTGAAAACCAATACAAGAGTTTTTGAGAAAACACTTGAACTTTTACAAAAAATGAAAAAACCAATACCATACCTTTTCACAAGTTTATCAAACAATAAACTCCGGGCAAAAACTCCAGGCATAACATTTGAAATTCAAATCAGCACTTGAATAAAACTTACGAAGTGGAAACAGCAACAATCTTTGAGCAAACAGCAGTTGAGCTGAATAAAAAAAAATTGATTAAAAACAAGACTGCTTGTATCAGGGCGAAGCCCTGAATGTTCTGACTGCCCATTAAGGTTTATGGAGCAGTAATATCATTAAAAAATTAAAAGTAATAAAACAAAATGAAAATTTTTTTCTTTCAAAAAATTTTGAATTTTTTTCAAATCATCCCCCCACACGCCATATAAAGTACAAAAGGATAGATTTTGCTACTTGTAACAAATCAACTATGGCAAATAAGCTTCGTTAAACTAATTTGGAACGATTTCTAAGACGGATTAACTCTCCGCTTACGCGTTAATAGCGCGAAATATATCGCGCATTTATTGTCCCAAATTGGCCAAAATGGCAATCTTTAAACCCCCATAACTTTACGAAAAATGATCACAGGTGAAATATTTTTTCAAATTTGAGCTCAGGACAACAATACCTTTCTAATGATATTAAAAAAATTCCGTCAAAAATGGCTAGTTGAAACGTCGAAATTTGTCTGAAGAAAAAAAACCCACCCCGAGCACAAATATTCCGTTACTTTCGTATCGAAAGTCGGAACAATAAGCTTTTGAAAGTTTCAAGTACTAACTAGTACCTATACAGTACTTAAATTTAAGTTTTCCTGAAATTAGGCATGTCAGCATCATAAGTGATTCAGCTGGTTTTGTTAAACAAAATTTTATACCGAAACAAAGGTCTACATTCAGATGAGTAACGCTTGCTAATCGCAAACATGAAAAGGTTAACGCTGAAAATAAAAACTGTAAATACGCGAGATGAGGGAATGAGGTTAAAAACAAACTAATTTCTTTATTTCACAACAAGTCTATGGACCAATGTATAGGGCGTTTTCCAGTAGTCATAATACCCGAGCCCGAAACCACCAGGGCCGTAGCTTGTATAAGTTTTTTATACCAAAATGTTGGACATGTTTTACTCAACAGACCGTTTTTTGTCCTTTTTTCTAATTCAGAGTCATAACCATGAATAACCTTGATCGCTAAAATAACTATCCGGTTGCGTCGGTTACCCTAATTCGTTTGCAGTCCAAAAACTTTTACGTTTTCAGATTCATTATAGATTGTGATCTCTTTATGGCTCTGTTCTGCTCTTATTGTTACCGTCAATATGAGCAATCGCTGTTGATTTCAAATAAACTTTTGAAAGATTGGACTTCGCTTTTTTCAGACTTTCTGAAAAGTTTGTTAAAAAGCTTGTGCCGCAAACTGTGCCAATTTTCTAAAACTATTTGACAATAACAGGCCAATCCGAGGCATTATTCGCAAGCTTGAGACCCTAGACGGGACGTCGCGAATCAACAAACGCAGAAAAACCGCAATTTTGAGCATTATGGCCGATTTCGATCAACTTGGCCATCAATGACGAGCAATTTGGTCAATTTTGACCAGTTTGACCATTAATTACGAGTAGACTTAGCCGCGACGCTGTTCTGACGCGGTCCTGATTGTCCAGAACCGCGTCAGAAGTTCCTAGCCGTTGTATCGGTGTATTGGACCACCGGATCAGAGTTTCCAGAGCGTTTAAGCTGCAGCCAACTTGTGTGAGCGGCTTGTATAGGCGCAGGCAACTTCGGTTGAGCAGGTGATTTAGGCAGACGAAATGTGAAAGAGACTCCGATTGTGCAACGACCTGCGCATGTGAATTGTGTAGGCGACTCCGGCTGTTCAGGCGACGACATGTGCAGGCGATTTTGCTTGTGCAGACTACTTGTGCCGGCAACTCCAGTTGTGCAGACGTCTTGTGAAGGTAATTCCATTTGTGCAAACGACTTATGCAGCAACTCCGATTGTGCAGATTACTTGTGCAGGTAACTCCGATTGTGAAGACATCTTGTGCAGGCGACTCGTGTAGGCAACTCCAATTGTGCAGAGCGACCTGTACAAGCGACTCTTGCAAGGAAAGTTGCGAGGACGATTTGTGAAGGCGACTTTTGTCGGCGACTCCTGTTGTGCATGCGAATTGTGCAGGCCACTTCAGTTATACAGAAGACTTAGGCAAGCTGTTGAAGTATCCTATTAGATAAAACAACTAGATCTGAATTGGTTAATTTGTCGCAATGATTTCTCATATTTGTTCTCTTTTCAGATACGTAAT